CCTATGTCTTTCGAGCCGTGTTTTTTTTTCTAGCAGAGGGAGGAGGAGTGGTGCCTCCCCCCCCCCCAATCCCCACGCGCACTACGAGTCCTGTGAGGGGGAATTCTGGGAGTTGAAGTCCACCCATCTTCAAGTTGCCAAGGTTGAAACACACTGCTGTAGAATCTAACTGGGGTGTCATTAATGAATACCAGCATCGCTTCTATTATAGCCCCCGTTCTTATCTTCCTCCTTACCTTTCCCTTTTTATCGAAAGCGGGAGAACATGACATGAAAGCGATTTCCACGACCCGTCTTTCTTGAATCCAGAGCTTTTCATATCTGTCTCTTCTTTCTTTAACTGCCAGCCCCTTCTCCTTCCCCAGAGCCGCGAGGCCGGTTAGATTCAGAAGGCACCGACCCTGATTTCCAGGAGTACAACAGTCCCCGCGTCTACGAGAACGGCATCACCCCTTCTGACGTTACCCCAGACCCGAGCTTACCGCCAAGCTACCCACCCACACCGTTGCAACCCTGGCGGGGGGACCCTCGGCGGACTTGGCCCCCCTTGGAGAATGGGGGTCCTCGCCAGCACCTCCCCGAGGCCTCTGATGTGGAGGATGAGTGGGGTTCCAGGGGTAGCTTCCCGTCTCGGACACCGCGGCTCGTTCCCGAGGGGTTGTGGGAGGGTGAGGAGGAACAGGGACAGTTGAGCAGCTATGAAGCGGAGGAAGAAGATTACGAGAGGGTCCCCCAGCACCCTCAGCCGGGCAGCCCAGCCAGTGGCAGCTCGGGCAGCCTCCGAGAAGAGGAGGAGGAAGAGGAGGAAGAAGGGACCGTTTCTAAGACTTATCCTGGGGGGATCCAGGAGGATCCGGCACCCTCGGGAGCTCCTGTGAGCACAGAGGTGAAGAACGAGGAATGGCATGGACCTTCTCTTATGCTGGAGAGAGGAGAGAGCCTGCAAGCAGTCCGAAGGGGGAGACAGGTAAGGATGCTAAATGGATGGAAGGGAGGGTGGGACACCTTACATTCGGTTCTTCCTCGGCTAGCCTGGGTAGGGTTTGCGATAGCACTAGCAAGTCTAGGCGGGTGGTTCCATTTTGCCCCAAAGCACCATGCCCAATGCCTTAGAGCTGAGCTGAATGTCCAGGAGCAAGACTGTCATCTCCAGGGAAGAAGATCTGGTGGCAGAGGATGGAAGAAGAACCTCTAAAGATGCTGGAGACCTGCCAATAGGGCAGGCTGTGTGCAGGAGGTGTCGAAAAAACTCAAGATGGGGGCCACCACCATGCAATCAAAGCAGAACCACATGGTGGAGGCCCCCATCTTGAGTTTTTTTTACCCCCCCTGCACACACTCCATCTCAAGCTCTCTCCAGTGCCCCCTTCCCACAAGAAGGAAACAGATTCAGATGAGATCTTGAATCCTCTGAGGTGTAGCTAGGATTCTTGGGAGTCGGGTCCCGAAACGCAAAGCGATGTTTGGGTTTCTGGAAATTCTGCAAATGACTTGGTCCAATCTAACGTGTTGGACTCATTCCCATGACTCCTGGCCAGTGCTGGCTAGGGATGATAGGCGTTGGAGCCCAACCTCAGGAGGGCCCACAAAACTTGTCCATCCCATCTTGTGTTTTGCACCAAAGGTTTCCGTGTTTTATAGCTCTGGCGGAAGCTGGGGGTTGGAGGGAGCCTTTGATCAGTGAATCCCAAATACTGTGGGAAACTGAATCAGTTGGACTTCTGCCTGTCAGGCAGCTGTTAAAAGCACAGGGCGATCTGTCTAGGTCCACAGCAGATGCTTCGGTCAAAATAAGGTTTGCTTGCCTGTGTCTTCGTGTTGTGAGAAATCAGCTAATGGCAATTTAAACCACAATAGCAAATCACAGCTTTGCATATTGGGTGGACGAACGTCTGTCTGTTTAAAGACCCCAGGATACAAGTAGAAAGTGATCTAGTTCACCCCTTGCTAAGCCATAACCCGTTTTGTTGGGCTGTGGCTTTTGTATTGCAATTTGTAAACCATGGTTTATGGCTTAACAGTAGGCGTGAACCTAACCACGGTTTAGTGAGATGTGTGAATCATGCCTTGTGGCGGCAGGAACTTGGATGTTGGACCTTTTAGCTTTCTCTTGCTCTGTGGATCAGCAATTTTTGATGCAAATCAAGGGTGTCGGGGGCAGGCATCAAAATGTCAAGATGGTACCCACAGCTACATTTGCCATGACGGGCAGAGCTGGGACTTTCAAGGTTTTCCTAGACTCAGGGAATTTTTTTCTTATTTTTAACCTTGTTCCCATAGCACACTCAATTTGGTTAATGCAGGAATTCATTTTCTGAGTTGAATCTGAACAATCTGTGTTGCTATAAACTCACCCAATGGCCTAGATCAGTGTTTCTCAACCTTGGCAACTTTAAGAGGAATGGACTTCAACTCCCAAAATCCCCCCCCCGGAATTCATGGCGGGGAAATTCTTGAGGG